TGTGAGCACACCCACCTGCCCAGCACTGTCAGACTTCAAGAATCAGAGGGAGAAAGAGAAGTGGAGCCATCATCTCTAGTCAAAGTTGGAAATTTTCCCAGCAGGCATGAGCAGAATTGGGCATCAAGTACAATCTGTAACCGATACCAGCACCACTTGTATGTGCATGACTCACAGAAAAGCATATTACACAAAAGTAAACCACAACTAAAACCAGTGCATTTAACCATCTGACTCATGTACAGAAACAGCAATATGCAGCATCAAAAACACTGAAGAACCCTCTAAAGGACACAGCTGTAAGGCATTTCCCCTTCCACCCAGTAACCGTGAAGCAGCTACACCAGGCAAGATCACATTAATGCAAATGTTCTATTCTGTTCTCACAGAGAAGTGATAGTGGAACTCTATGGAGCAGCTATGTTAAAATGCAAAAAACTTGACTGTGTCCTGCTGTCGGAGCTATGTCTTCCTCTTTGTTGAAAGGGGCATGGTGAGAGCCCTCAGCAGCTGAAATAAAACAGACAACCATGATGGGCCTCTCCAGTGTAGCCATTGCCTAGCAACAGCAGTACTACCCATCCCCACCCCCCCCGCAATCCCTGAATGAAAGGAATGAGCAACCCCAAGTCCCCCTTTCTAACACACACACACACACCACACATTCCCTTCGCCTGTCCTCAACATTGACGTCATGGGTTTTTTTTTTTGTTCTTGACACACAGCCTGGGTGAAGAAACTCAGCAATGCAAACTGGGGCCTTCCAAATCTTCAGTCTGCTCGTGACCGTCTACGGTGGTATGAGGGATAGAAGAAAAAGAGGAGGAGGGAGAGCGAGATGTAAGTCCACTAATGCCACTTTAAAAGGCAGACAAAACAATATGTAATTATGGCCTTCCTTCATATAAACACATCTGAAGTCTACGTTTAACCCCACTTCTGAAAAGCCATCTGTGACAGAGTCGCACATCAAGTGCTTCATAATGTTTATATCTGATTATGCAAAATGATTAAACACAAACCACCACCAGCTACACAATAAACGTAGCCTCTCTCCGTCTTATACAAGTCAAATACAAAATAGAACACTACATACAAGTCAGCTTAGTCCCACTTCCCTACACTGCTGTACTGATTAGGCCTCGTGTGCAAATGTTCGAAATGGCATCAGTAGCAGAATGTAAACAATAGGCCTAGACTGTATTTCTCTAAAGCAGCTTGGCACAAATTATCATCTGCCTCACGATCTGACACAGTGGAATGCACTCATGAGCTGAGTGTTTTTACACCCTGTACTGTTGTGCCCCCTACTGGACACACATAAGTGACTGCAGTTGGCAAAAAGGGCACAAAAAGGGCTTCAAAAAGTGGATCCTTCCTCCTCCGTCTACCGCTGTTATTACATTCTCTTGGAATGCATGATATCAGAATCATATCAGTATCAGCAGATGTTTCCATGGAAAAAGAAAGATTGGCTTTGGACAGATGCTTATGTGATATCGTATTTATTGTACTCCAGGGAGGACACCTTCTGCATTTTATTTATTTCACTGCATTTGTAACCTTATAGAAATAAAATGTTATATTTCTGTAGTGCTACACTGCTAATCCAGGTAGTTATAACATTTACACACTGGCACACATACATGACAAATCGCCAATATCTGCATGGGCCCACAATTCCCATATCGGCACATCTCTAAATATTACGCTGATCAAATTGAGAAGACATGCACATGACATTTTAAGCCAGGCAAACAAGGCTGAAGAAAAACTCATTGTAAAAATTCACTCATTTTTATTAAAAAAATCAACATTTCATTTGTTACAACAGCTTATAGTAGTTATCGAATGGGCTGTACATGTCCATTTATACAATGTTTTACATGTAAAGCGATCAATGTACAAAAAGTAGAGTTAGTGGAATTTAATGAATTATGACTAACCAAATGTTGGTCATCTTTGAATATATATCCTTGCAAAGCACCATGGTATCAAAAACGAGACGATGAATGACAAGAAAAAAAAAATACATCAACAACAGGCCCCACTGTCCTTCCCTCTCCATTAAAACTCTACACCATCATCCTCCATCCAGGAGCCAAAGTGCTTAACGTTCCATCCATCCATGGCAGCATGTGTCAACTTCCTGTTTAACCATCATTTCCTCACTTCCATCACGCCCCCGCCTCCCCCCCCACCCCAAGCATTTAACATGTTGCCTCAACGGCCTTTTATTAAAGACATCACAAGAACAAGGAGAAAAGGCTTTTGCTTCAATCCAAATGAAGCCTTTAAGTGAGGTGAAATGGCAAAGCCTGATACTGACAGTATTTCATACCTTTGGTAGCCCCTCAACATTTAATTTTGTTTCGCAAAACCATACATAGCCACATACGTACACAAAAGCTATAATGGCAACAGATTAAACGTCCATTTTTTTTTTCTTCCTCACTCATTCACACACAATTACTCTCTCTCACACATTCACACACACTGTTTTCAGGTTAGTGTGCTGCTGTACCGGTAACTGCGCTGAGGTGCTGTAAAGTGCAGTAGGAGGATGAGATGACACAGGACTGACCCGACTTTGGTGGAAGGGTGACTGCTATGAAGTTCTTGCAGAAGAGAGAATGTTTTAAAAGGAGAAATGGGGCCAGATCTGAGGTGCATCTGATTGTACCACATGCTGTTCTTGATTACATTTTGGAATCATCACAGTGAAGATGCAGTGGAGGCTGGGCAAAAGAAAGGCAGCAATGTGATTGTACAGATTTGTTTAAAAATATCTAAGAGACAAACATATGTGCACAGCTCAACCCCATTGATTGGAAACTGAATCAGCTGGACCTCTGTATAGACAAAGTTTTAAACAAAAAACAGGGCATGAACTTACACTGGGGGATGTAATTTAGCCCCTTAAACGCTCATGTTGAATTGCTCAGTCTAAAAACTACGTAATTTTCATATTGCATAAGCCTAGGGGTTCAGAGGTAAAAATACAAGACCCAAATTAATATCAAACATGCCAGCTTGACGAGCCAACTCAAAACTTCATTTTGTATTTATAAATGTAAACCAAGAGTATGGTATCAGACCACGGGCCCAATACAGCCCAAGCGTACTGTCCACATAGCTATGCCTGTGGCTTAAACGTTTGTCTGCAGTCTCACCAAAATCCCTTTAAGTGGCTCCCCCAGCATACAGTGTATCAAGTTGTCAAAAAGGAGTTACAAAGGTTATAAAGGAAAAATTACAGAATCTTCATGCTGGTGTATGTATGCATCTGAGAAAGAGAAAGCGGGCAGACAAAATGCACAGACAAAAGACAAAACAAGCACACAAATCAGGCAACCACAATCACACAAAGAACAATCTTTGATACAACACGGAACTGGAAAACGACCCAGGCTTTTGAGTTACAAGACAGCAGACAACCTGCACAGACAAACACCACAAAAGGCCTTTAAAGAGAGCTATTAGCTAAATAATAATCCTTAAAAAGACCCCACTCAGCCACAAACTGAAGAAAATTTGAACACCCAAGTCTGGCTCTCAGAGTAGTGTTGACCCAACATGTTATGATCATATACTATACACAGACAATCTCTTTTCATGCGAATCATAGACTGCACAGCATATAATCATAAAATGATTTAAGAATCTATATTGGATTTAGACCAGACTGTTTGAGATTTAAGAACGCCACAATTTTCCTTAACAAAACAGGAACATTCATGGAGTTATGTTCTTCGGCTTGTGTTGTTCGTAGTGGATTGTCACCGTACTTTGTCAAATTTTTTTTTAGAAAAATAGAACGAGGCATATATTCAGAGTATATGGCGTTATGGTTTAAGTACCGCAAGGATATCATCGAGAGATTTACAATGGTTTTCATTCTTTATAGCTTATAAATATGGTATCTACACAATATGTGGTACAAAAATATTTTGACATTTTGCGGGCACTGGTGTTCTAAAAAAGATGCAAAATGATGTAAAAGAGTTTGTTAGAAACTGGTCAGGCACAATAAGCTTGTCCTTGATTGTGTACTGGGCTTTTTTTTCTTAATTCCTGTAAAGGATGAACAGTGCTGAGGGCTGGCGAAGAGATGGCAGGGAGAAAGGACAGCAAAAAGAGAGATGTTTTGGGTTGTGCCCTTCAGCACAGACTCCTCTACAGTTGCAGTCAGGCATGTTGGGAGGAGGAAAACGAAAGAAAAAAAGACCAAAAAAAATCAAAATCAAAAAAAATAAAGATTTTGGTTGATTGCTCAAGACCGTAGAAACTTCAGTCCACTGGCGAGTGATGCTAAATCACCACATCTCCCTCTTACATGGCAAATGGGGCTGGAGACCCTGGAGCTGCTGAAACCAGAACAGTCACTGCTTTACCTTTATGATAAAACCTCGATACTGGATGTCAACGAGTATCAGCAGCACTTTCTGTTTGGCCAATTTTGTCCTGTTCTTTTTTTCCCCACAGTTCTGATAGCTTTTTAATCTAATCTTTTTTTTCCAGTGTTGTGGCACTGTGCCTTTCCATAAATACAGAATGAAAAAACAAGGTGGGAAAAACAGAAGTACCGTTCTGTATTCTCCTGGTGGACCAGCTTCTAGCTGATTAGAAGATCTAGTGTTTCAGCTTCAGACAAAATGGCTGCAAAGCACACAGAGCTGCCCAGTGTAGTACCAGTGAGAGCCATCAGAGGGAGCCATTCGCCTTCCATCTCCATCCTCTCCCTGAGCAGGATGGCATTACTTGCGTTATTTGGCATTGGAAATTTAACCACCCGCAGTCTTTTCCCATGTTTCCCGTAAATCCTTCCGCCTCGAAGAGAAGGTAGTTTGATTCCGAACTCCTGGATTTAAGGCAACATATGGATGTTTGTGTGAATTTAATAAAACTTTCCTTTAAAAAATGTACAAATTTCTTTAATAATACAAAGCTCTATGGCATAACCAATAAACGCTGTATAGAAAATATATAAATATGCTTTCTTTTAAATGTACAAGGATCTGTCAGCTCTGTGCACCAAAGTCTCTCTTCTTTTTCTATTTCTTGCTCTGTACAGAACAGCCTTTCAGCTCAAGCATCAGTCACTTTCTCTTTTTTTTGTAAAAAAAACAAAACCAAAAAAGTTCATTATATGCACAATTGCTATTTACACCAATGGGGTGATAAGGGGTGGGGTTTTGCACACGATTTGCAAGGCTCATGATGAGTCTGTGCAGGGCGAGGGGGGAGGGGGATAGAGGTGGTGTGAGTAACTGCGCTCTGTATAAGGAGATGGAGGGCAGCTCTCGCAGTTCTCCTCGGCTGATAGGTACTGGCTACGTGGGGTGGGGGGAGGGGGAAAGGGCTCTGAGTCATAGTTGAGGTCGCTGGTATAGCCCTTGGCCACAGCGCTGGAAGCTGGTGGGGCCCGGCGCCCCGGTGTGTAGTCACTGTCACACACATCTGTGCTACACGGTGTGGTCGGAGGGGCGAAGTGGCGATAGCTGTATGGCCTATAGCTGGGAAGACAGGGGTTTGTAGTTAGTTTAATTACAACAACAACAACAACAACAACAACAACAACAACAACAACAACCATCATCAAACAACAAATACACACAAAGGGTGGCTTCAAGATATCTGCTACTAATGTTTTGTACTGTAACAAACTTTTACCCATTATTACAGGTTTTCTAGATGCATTTTTACAGGTAACTGCAGGTCATACCACATAAGCAAGTCTGGTACTCATTACACAGCCTGAGGCAAGCGTGTTTTAATCTTTTTTACCTTATTAGTTCATATTAAGCATTATTTATTATATCACTTAAAAGGAAAAAAATACTTATTTTCCTGGAATACTACATAAAAATGTAATGACTTCTGGCCATCTCTTCTGATTTTTGGCTACAGCACCATACACCAGAGGAAGAAGGGGAATAATATTAATCAATATTAATATTAACCTATCATCAAGCAAAATTGCTCAGCTAGTTCGGTGACCCTCCATAATACTGTGTTTCACTTGGAAATATGTCAGAACACCAAGAAAAATGAGTTATGATTTGCAATTCATACTGACTTTAAGCAGGTGGTCTGCAGGCTGCTAAGTGGTCAATTTATAAAGCGGTCAAAATTTATAAAGTGGTCAAAAATATAAGCTTCCATTACTTGTTAGCTACATTAGCTGTGAAGTTATAGTTACAGTGCCAAAACGCAGATTCAAACTTTGGACACCAAATGTCTTAGCTGATCAACTTCATTTGGAGTAAGGATAAACCTGAGCAGACGAATTCAGTAAAACTGGAACACTTTCTGGTAAACGCACTAGAGCATACTCATAAAAACTATACACTTGTGTTTTTGTGAATTCATACATGCCTCCCATATGTAAATGTGTTAAAATTGTACTGAATATTTTTTTCTTAGGACATTATGGACCCTAGAACACAGTTAGGCAACATTTATCACTTCAGCTGTTTTTCAGGTAATGTGGGACAATGCTTTAGTCTCAAGAAACACATTTACAATGGCTTACGGGCAGTACAGCAAAATCCTATGTAGAGCAATGAAACACTTCACATTTGTTTGAATGTATAACAACAATGAACTGAACTAGCCTCAAATTTGTAAAAACAAGGATGGATTTGAGCAACAACCTTTCTGACTGAGTCTGCTCACTACTTCAATAATGGCTGCTTTCCATTCCTATGTAGTCTATACATTCTGTCCTCTCTACACAGGGTTTCAGTTCTTTTTCCTTCATGCTGTCTTTTCTCTCTGTCCTCTTTTCCTTGAAAACTGTGTCCAACTTGACCTAACATGTTGAGCAAAAGTGGGACAGTACTTAAAAACACACATGGCCACATGAACTTTCTTGTGCATTTGCGACATAGCATTAATTGCCACAGGTCACCGTTTTTAATCCCAGTAAAATAAAGCCATGCAGTTAAATGATCCAATCATAGCAAGTCACCCTGCATTACCTGTATGAGCGATGTGTGGAGGGACTGTTGGACGAGTAGCCAAACTCCATAGTGTACTGAGAGCGAACTGTAGCAGGAGAGGGGGGAGGGTTAAGGATCTGCAAAAAGAAAAGAGAGGGAAGAAATGGAAACAGGAGAAAAAGAACATTAATCTTGCACATAAGCCTTCCAACTATGCGTGTATTTCTCATGGCGACACCTTAAGCTTTAAAACTTAAAATGTTTTCTTTATAGCATCATTTAAACGTTGCTTGGGAGTTTTGAAGGCTGTTAATCAGTTTGCACACTCCACAGTTCACCCTCCTTCTACAAGACCCTGAGATATCATAAAACAGCTTGTTCAAGAAGACTGTGGTTACGTTTAGGCATAACAATGGAAAGAGAGCATTTGGCACAGCCATAAAACTGAGGTACAGATTGCTCAAATGGAAGGAACCATTTGAGTGGGGTGGGTAAGAGTCACAAATGCATGGCATATTTTCCCTCTGGCAAGTTGGAATAACACTGCAAAGGTCATGCTGTTGCCCAAGCAAAGTATTAACAAATTACACTTTCCTTTGGCCGGCAGCCTCTGAGGATAAACCAAATGCACTAAACTGAATAGGACAAACATTTGTAAACTCGCAAACAGCCACTATCAACACAAGTATCTACATCATAATATGGAAATTAGTCTGTTTTACTGCCCTTTGATGACGACACCAGCTTCACACTACGCTGAACAAATAAGAGATGGAAATATGAGAAGTAGACTATGAAAACTGAGATGCAAGTGGTCATAACTATCTTACATTATGTTAGTTTAGGTTAGCTGTGTGAGAAACTGGCACATCACAGCAAATCACATTAATGATCTGGAAAAAGGCCTTTTACCACCCTTGCAATAAGACTTATTTCTAATAGCCTGTTTATGGGGTTTTCAATGTTATGTTGGTCAAGCCAGTGATGATGAACTTTTTACTTTGCCAGATTTGATTTAACATTACCCTACTTAAACACAAGATGATTTCAGACAGATAAATCACACCCATTCAGTCCTTCCCTCTCTGTTTTCATTCTGGTAAGTCTCTCTCTCTTTGTGTATGTGTACTAAGACTACAAGAAAGTGTAAGTCATTTTGTAAAAGGATGTATTTGTTTCATCAGCCTTACTCTAATGGTGTTAACAGGCTAGGTAAGGCGATATAGACTGCGTAGTATTACTTTCTCTGTTTACTTTTTTCCTTCATAGCAACAACCTTTTCTTTCCCAAATGGTCCTGTGTCTCTCCCATTGTTGAGCTTTTTTCAAAGTTGAACTAAAGCTGAAGTTATATGAAACTAGGACTGGAACTTTAATGCTCATCGTGCTTTTAGGCTTTTCCTGCAGCTTGTTTGGATGTGTTCTACAAAGATAAATTGAAGTGAGCTCTTACTTTATTTACAGTATTGTAAATACGTGAGGTGTACTTGAAGAGCTGATATAAAGTTGCTTTCTGCTTACAGGAGGGAAGTAAGTGCCCTTGGTGCTGGACGAGCTGCTGGAGGAAGCTCCTGTTACGTGGGCACGGTCATATGGAGGTCCGCTGCTACCACCCATTATACTTAAGGAGCCAATCACAGATTTCCCACGGGACATGCCTACAAGAGAGTGCATAAGACATTGGTGAAGAACAAGCCAATCTGATAGAAAAAGAAGGAATGGAGACTAAATGCAATCGCAAAACTGTTTCAGTTGCTATCTACACTAACATGGCTAAGCCTGGCCTTAGATCCACCATTCTTTCCATATACACAAGTCAAACTACACACAAACATGAAAAACTGAATATAGGAGGGGGTGGCCCTTCATGCCCTTTGTCATTTATTCTTGAATTCGTAATTCATTAATTTTACTTCTATTCTTCCTCCTGTACTCTCAAGGGACCATCAAGTCTCACCTGGCAGAGAGCCTGACAAGGAGCTGGGGTGCGGCACATAGCCTAGTGGCACAGAGGATGGTCCGTGCACTACAAAGTCGTTGGTCATGGTCTCACCGTCGTCCTTCATCTGTGGGCATAGCACCCGTTGGCACACAAAGTAGACAGCGCCTACGACAAACAGGGTCATCACGACACCAACGATGGAGCCGATGGTGTTGGTGGGCTGCGGGGAGGGCTCTTCAGTGGGGTCTGAGAGAAAGAAATTATTCATTTATGAATATTATTACATTAAACTCATGTTAAATCCTATCTGCAAAGGCAAGACAACTGCCCAATAAAACATTCTGTACTTTCAGACAGTAACAGTGGGATAGAATGTAGTTTGAAAGTGAGCTTACAGCAGCCAATTTCATCAGAGTTGTCCATGCAGTCCATGTTATGGTCGCACTTCTTGTGTTTGCCAATGCACTGACCATTGTTACAGGTGAATTGATCTGGAGGGCAATAAACTGGATGGGAAAGACAAATTTGTTAGTAAGCAGACAAGCCCTCTTACAGACAGTGAAACTGAACAAAAGTCAATAAAATAAATAAAATCACGCATAAACACAAGAAGAGAAAGAAGTCCAATTTCCTTTCAAAATTTACTATGTGACTAAAAGCAGTAGCGCCTAGACAAGGTGTACCTTCGCATTTGTTCTCATCCGAGCGGTCCTGGCAGTTGATCTCTCCATTGCAGCGCAGAGAGATGTCCACACACTGCTTGCTGTCACACTGGAACTCCTCATCTGAGCACACAGGGCAGTCGCGCTCATCACTCTCATCATCGCACTCGGCGAATCCATCACAGCGCCATGCCTGCGGGATGCAGTCCACCTCACCTGACGTGCATGAGAACTGCACCGGTGAACAAGTGGGTGGCTCTGGGGGAACCACGAAGCGAACAGGTCAGCACTGGCATGGCACAGCTTTCATGAGGTTATCTGGACTGGTTTGATAACACCTCCACTTTTCAAGCGCATGTATGTATGATACTGAACTTTTTGCCCTTCATGCCTTTAACATTGGGCTTCAGGGTTACAGCTGAAAATCAAGACAGTTGGCTAATACTATCACATTTAGCTTTATTACTGTGCACTGTCCCTGATTATCAACATAAAAACTAAAGAAAAAACACAAACATACTGACTGACTAATGGTTGAGCTCACTGAGAAACAGCAAACAAACTGGAGGCCTATAAGGATTTCAGTGCTCTAAACTGATGTTTATTTAACCCCTTAAGATTCCAAGCTTGTTACATACTAAGGCTTATTATTCAGTAAGTACAGGGTCTTCAATGTAAACTGGCTGAGCTATTCTCAGGTTATAGAAGTGTATAATAAACATTGGGCCCACCGGTGGGCCATTTAAGGGGTTAAAGAGTGATATTACCTCCACACGAAAGCTCATCTTGCAAAAGAACCAGGTGAACAGGGCAGGAGCAGCGTGTGGTGCCGTCTCCCTTCACAATACAAATGTGGGAGCAGCCTCCATTGTCAGAAGTACAGGGGTGTTTATCTGGAACACAGAGGAGGAGGACCATCAGGTCTTGCTTTGGTTTTAGATGTACTTATTTTGGAAGATTAATGATGGTTTTCAGACATAGGTTTGGCTTTTCACATATGAACGTCATTTCCCTGGGGCAGATGTCTGGATCATTTAGGGAGACAGCACAGTGTATGTTTATATGTCACAAAACAACATGGGTTTTGATGCTGGGGAGAGAAACATTTCACATTAGAAAAATGCCGGAGTTCCGACAAAGCATGCTTAACAACCTGAAGTCTAGTCTTGGCTTTCTTTTTAATAGGGATTCACCACTGATTATGATTAGGTTTAGCCTTTTGCTGGAATTTAAGCTCTGTGTGGCTGACCTTGTAGTAGATCTTACTGACAAACAATGCAGTCAGCGCATATCTTGTTTACTGATGAGATCAAGTGCTCGACCCCAAGAGGCAAAAGTATTTCTTAAATAAACAAACTTTTACTCAGTGACTGCACTGATGGTGAAATGAGTCATTTGTTCCAAAACCACACTATAAGCTCAAGAAAGCAGCACAGTTTGTTTCTGAACCCTGTGGAAGGGTATCAAAATGATCAGAGTCAAAAGAGGGAGGACTCTCTGTCATCTCTTTCCATTAAAGTGTTGCAGGGGGTCAAAACTCACTGTACTCCTCCATGTCGAGCTCATGAACAGCATGGATGTCTGTCAGAGAAGCAATGCGCGCCTGGATCTTGGTGCGGCCCTCACGTGTCGTCTTGTCAATTCGCTCAATCATCTGCTGCTGTCGGTCAATCCAGTAGAGGTGATCTCCAAACACAGTCAGGCCGACTGGCTGCAGGATGTTCGAGTCCTCGATCACGATCCGATTGGCACCTGAAGGGAAAGGCACGGCAACAGGGAAGCAGAGAGAAGGGACTGATCAGGAAGGACTATGGGAAGGGAAAGGAACCCACTGGTCTACGGGGAGGTTCAGTGTGTGTGGGAAGCAGCAAGGGACAAACACGATTAACCAAAAAGGGAAAGGGGATATATTTGGATAAGCGAGTAAAGCTCAAGCAAAAGAAGTGATTTACGGTGTTTTGGCAGTGGGGAGCATTTGCGTAACCTTCTAATGTGTTACAGCAGAGGGGAAATCATTTTTGCATGATGAGAATAATGACTAAAATGTGTCTGAATCCTGGCCAGACCTCACAAAAGGGGAGGACAGCTTTTGTGCAGCGATTCAGGGACCATGAGTACATGGTGCAGAGAAGGCAACACCAAAGCACTCTACCTGTTTTTCCTTCAAACTAGTAAACACAGGCATTAAAGTACATTTTTCACCTAGCCTGAACTAAACTACTGATTTTAAACCTTTAGTTTAAAACCCTTTAGATTTTAATGGTGACAATTTGAAACAGTGAAACAGACCAATGACCAACACCCAGTAACAGGGTGTTGTGTGCTGTGATAAGCCTTTAATCTAGTTACTGTCTTGTTTGTTTCTGTTCTGTTGTACAGCAACGAAACAGAGTTCACTTTGCACAGCAGGCTACGTCTCATAACTCGCTAAAATGCACTGCACTCTGCTGGGGAAAAAATGAACACAGAAAAAGCTATATGTAGTTAAGTTAAAGGATGAAGAATACCTGTCAGATAGGAGATGTGTCAGATGCGGATATTTCAGAAAGGGAGAAAGAGGCTCCTAATTTTACAAACTTTGGAAATACACAGAAGTGGAGCATTTAACATAAATGTATTTTAATGTTTATTAAAACTGAATGAGCTGTAACAATTCTATTAAGTCTGACTGAACATTATATGCCTCATACTGAATACCTGACTACAGCATTAACGTAATACAATATGTATCTGCTATTTCTCCACTGCATATTCTGATGTGTAAACACTATCATAACCAACTCCACAGAAACTCTTGTGCAAGTAGTCAACTGTGAACACATCCACTCCAAATCTACAGATCCGAGGCTAAGCTTGGTAGGGTATTTGGGGTGGGCTGGTGCATTTACTTCTGTAATACCCTGACTGCAAAACACATTCCAGTGGTGGTGGGGGAGGCCAAAGGTCGGGGTAAGCACGAAGCCTTGTTGTTAACACACCAAGTGTGTGTTTGCTTTGAAGCCCCCCTGCCAGAGCTTCAGCCTGTATCACTGTAGTCCTGCTCCAGCTGGTGTGGTGTACGCGCGCAGGACATGGGGTGTGCTGGGAATGTGCTAAGCACGAGGCAGTGGGCCAAGCACTCTTTATCAAAGGGATCTGCTCATTGGGGGGGAAAATTTTCTTAACTTCTCTTAAAAATAATTCTGACGATAGTTGTCACTCCTGAAATAAATATTATATTTCTTCTAAATCTTCTATATTCTTCTAAAGATTCAGAAACTGTGGCCGACAAAGTGCCTGCTGGTGTTCACTTGGAAGCTGCTGAAACAAGCAAGCTTGCTAGCTAGCTAAAATGTATTTATTTTCCTTGACTTCCTAGTTAAGGTTGGCTTACTACACACGCTTTACTATTTTACCATCACTGACAATTTTTGTTTAATAAAGTTTTTTGAACATTTTATAGCTTTTTCCTCTATTTTTGCATCGTCATCAGATGCAGAGCGAATTAAACAGAATCTAAAGCGCATTCAAAATGTCTCTTGCACTGACTATAATGGGCTGTAATTGACTGAATAGGACTGACTACTTGACTACTTAAGCCCACTTAAGACGTCTATCAAATATTCTTTTGAGAAAGTCTTTTTTTTCCTCTCAAGAATCACATTTAAAAACATTATGAACTTCAATTTTTTTTTGTAAGATACTTTGAGGTTTTTTCCCCACTGAAGTGCTATCATGACTCCAGACCCTGGTCTGTAAGCTCTCCTGTTTTCTCTACTGCTCACCTCATTTACCTGCCAATTGAGTACTCCATGTATCTGTGTCTCTCTCTAAGAATGAGGATCTGGCCTAAACCGGCAATTTACAGTATGCCCTCTTAAACAGAACATCAGCCATGTTATGCTAGTGCAACTCAGAGTCTTTGGTGAAGCCATGGGGACTGGTGCACAAAATCCAATGCAAACATTCCCCTTCTCTGTGTGACCCACATGATGTACGTGCTCATAAAAAAGGTGTCGGGATGTGACGGCCAAGTTCAACACTTCTGACACAATTATAAAGTGGGGAGTTACTCAATCACAAATATTTAAGACCTACATAAATTTGTCTTCATAGAGGACCAATGTGCCAGTTAAGCTCCTTTATAAGCATACCTTCTAAACAGCAGCCAAATATAAAAGAGCTTTTTACTACCTCTAATGCTCTGCCAGATGCATCTCTCACCATGTAGTTATATGGCATAGTTATGGTCACACTACACATATTTAACACAACCCTGTTTCCAAAAAAAGCTGGGACCCTATTTTTCATTGAAAATAGTACAAAGACAACATATCAAATGTTGAAACTGAGAAATTTTGTTGTATTTGAAAAATATATTCCCATTTTGAATTTGATGCCAGTAACATATTTCAAAAAAGTTGGGATGGGGGCATGTTTACCACAGTGTTTTATCACCTCTTCTTTTAACAACACTTGCGTTTGGGAACTGAGGAGACCAACTGAGGTCCCAATGCTGTTTTTTGGCCTTGTCCCTTGCATACAGAGATTTCTCCGTCTTCTCCGAATATATTTTAATGACACTATGTACCATAGATGATGAAATCCCCAAGTTCTTTGCTATTCGCTATTTCATGTTGTTTAAGAAAGAGAATGTTGAGAAACGTTATTCTTGAGTTGTTGGTGAACCCCTCCCATCTTTACTTCTGAAAGACTGAGCCTCTCTTGCATGCTCTCTTTATACTTAATCATGTTACTGACCTGTTGCCAGTTAACCTAATTAGTTGTGAGATGTTCCACCGGCTGTTTTTTTTTTGTTTTAGCACTATGCCACTTTACCAGTCTTTGTTGCCCCTGTCCCAACTTATTTTGAAATGTGTTGCTGGCATCAAATTCAAAATAGGCATGTATTTTTCAAAAAATTATAAACTTTCTCAGTTTCATCTTTATCTAAATATAGGGTTTAAATAATTTTCAAATCATTGCATTCTCTTTTTATTTAGGTTTTTGGGAAAGGGGTTGTACAATTACATAGTTAAACACACAACCCGATCAGCCATCACATTAAAACCTCCTTGTTCCTACATTCACTGTCCATTTTTGTATAGCCCACCTGTTTCTCTGCATGCTTTCACCTTTTAAAAACTATGTTCACTCACTGTCCACTCTATTAGACACTCCCACCTTGTTGGTCAACCTACAGCCAACAGATGTAATGTCAGAGTAAAAGTGAGCTCATCGGGGCTCCCGAGTGGCGCAACCGTCTAAGCGTTGGCCCTATCATCAGGAGATTGCGAGTTCGATCCCTGGTGATGCTACAGCCATCCGTAGCCGGGAGTCACAGTTGACCTCGCTCTCTCTGGGTGGGTAGGATGGCCCCTCCTTCTCCCCCCATCACTCAGCGCGATGCTAGTCAGTGCAGGCGTCTGTTAGCTGACGTAACAGATCTGGCGGTTGGCGCTTTCCTCCGAGCGCGTTCGGCTGTCCAATGACGTTGCGTGAGCGGCAGCTCGAAAAGAAGCGGTGGTTGGCTTCACAGGTCTCGGAGGAAGCCTGTGTTAGCCTTCACCCTCCTAGCGTTGATAGCATCGTGTGATTGGGGGAGTCCTAACTAGCGGGTGGAATTGGAGACGACTAAATTGGGGAGAAAATCGGGTAAAAATTTAAAAGTGAGCTCATCTGTTGTTGCGGATTCTGTATGTTATCCTTTAGTTCTTCTTCAGTGGTAACATGACCCTGCTGGCTGGATATTTTTGGTTGGTGGACTATTCTCAGTCCAGCAGTGACACCAAGGTGTTTAAAAACTCCAGCAGCGCTGCTGCGTCTGATCCACTCGTACCAACGGAACACACACTAAACACACTACCATGTCAGGGTCACTGCAGTGCTGAGAATGATCCACCATCCAAATAGTACCTGCTCTGTGGTGGTCCTGTAGGGGTCCTAACCATTAAAGAACAGGGTGAAAAGGGGGCTAACAAAGTATGCAGAGAAACAGACGGACGACAGTCTGTAATTGTAGAACCAAAAAGTACTCCTATATGGTAAGTGGAGCGGATAAAATAGACAACGAACGCAGAAACATGGAGGTTTATATATACAAAAGATATACAGACAGGCGGTGTGTGTGTGTGTGTACCTTTGTTTGTATCATATGAAGCTTTTTCCAAGTGGTTTGGCAGCCTTATTTCCATCTTCCAGATGCACTAAGTGGAACGCCATTTACTTCTGATAAAATCCCCAAATAGCTTTTTAAAGATTTCAAGGCAATAACCTTTCCCTGAAGACTCACCAGACAGGTCACTGCTCTCAATGCGGCGCAAGTCCATGTCCACCCAGAAGAGCTTGCCCAGCTCGTTGTCAATAGCCAAGGCAACAGGCTTGCCCAGACCACTGAAGAACAGCACCTCTCTTTCAGTGCCATCCAGAGCCGCTCGTTCGATCTTAGGAGAGCGCTCCTGCAGATTGGTGAAGTACATGTACCTGTGGATGACAAAAGCAGATAGCACTAGGGTCAGATCAAGAGACAGGCAAAAGGTATCGGGTCTATTAATTGACAATGATTTATAGAAATATATAAAAGGCTTTTACTCTTTGTTGCTCATTAGTATTTGTATGTGTTTAGTACAAATACTGAACAAGCTAAGAATCATAAGGCAATCTCAAAACATTTAAGCACACAAAGTCAAATACAAGAAAGAACTATATACTATGCTTACAATGCTTCCACAGTTATATTTTAGGCTTATGTCTACTTTAACCAACTTAAAGAAGGTAACAACCAAAAACATGACAAATCAACTGATGTTATTTTGTAAATATTTCTCCTTTCAGAGTAATAAATTTTATTGCAACAAAGAGCCACAACTTGACCCACAACTTGACCTTAAAGACGCATTCTAATTATAAAATAAAGCTCTGCAATTTGGGTTCAATGGAAGTTATTTGGCATAACTTTCTAGCAGAAGCGAGACCAAGAAATGCATGACCTTTTATTACTAAATATAGCCAAACAACCAAATGACCGGGGAAAAAAAAACAAAAAAAAAAAACATAACTTCCTTACTGGAAGCATGCCCAAAAACAAAGAGCCAAAGCCATTGTTTTCTTCATCTGAGTACAGAAAAGCACCAAATGAGCCTGGAAAGTAAAGTATATATTCTGGAATATCCTGGAAGCTACTCACCCTCTCTCTGGGTTGACCACGATTGCTCGGGGTTTGTCAAGCTCTCCGCGAAGGACAACTCCCACGCGTGTACCATCAGTACGGGTAACATTAATGACGTTGGTGACCTCACTGGTCCAGTAGATGAAACGGCTGTAGATGTCAATACTCAGGTCGAATGGCTGCAGGCCGAGGTTGTGGCCCCCCAATGAATTGGACACCACAGTCATACTCTGAGGGAAAAGAATGACCAGTCTGACTCGGAAAGGCATGCAAATTTGACATTTGGTTGAGCCCAAGCTGACCAATACTGTCACCATTGCCATTGCCCAGAACCGTATGCCAAAAGAACCTTTGTGTAGTTAAGTGGTTCTCAAGTTACCCTATTTTAACGGGTTATTATAAAGCACTTCATTAATGGAGCCAGGTGGGTCACAGCACAGCAACACACAAAAGAAGAATCACTGGGATTAAAAAGTATTTAATTAACAAGAATTAGCACACAGTTCTATTGTGCACTGATGGCTTGATGTTTACCTGATTGCCGTTTTCTTGGGCACGACGAATGACGTTCTGTTTGGAATCAATCCAATAAAGCTGCTTGTCGAGCGGGTCATAGTCGATGGCTCGAACATTGCGCAGGCTGTGAATTGGCAGGATAATGTCAGGGCTTTGTTGCTCATCCATCACCATGCGGTTGATAGCTGTTTTCTGGCTAAACAGTAGAAAGGAGGTGGGCGCTGAGGGAGGAAGAGGAAAAGATAAAAATTGCGAAGTTTAAAAACAAGGTCAAAACGTTTAAGAACATCTTGCTTTCTAAACATGGGCAGATGTAGATAAGACTGCCAAGCTTTAACTGTACAAAAAAAATCCCCTTTCAAAAAGTAGCACAAGCTGTGAATGAAGAAAAAAACTTTCTGTGGATGCTGTTCTTCTACCATGTTTTCCTCTGGATTTATAGCACATTACATACTGCAGTGGTATGCAAGTTCAATTAACTCCTTTGAACTGGATTTAAAAGCTCTAGCTGTTAGTATGTTCACCCAGTGACCTCTGCATGACCAAATCGGTGGTGGGAGTAAAGAGAGTAATCAGTCACCATGGTGGCTATTACAATAAACACACACATGCACACACCTCCCCAGCGCAAATGCATACACACACGCAGCCCTCGCTGAGCCTCCCATGGGAGAGCCGCGGCGTGATTCTGAAGTGTTTTTACTATGTCAGACACGGCGAGGGAGCCGAGGACGGCTTAAACCAGGCTTTGGTTTCCCAGCGCCTGCCAACTTGGCAGCGGCTCGGCCAACCGCGAGAGCTTTAAAAAGAAAATAGCCTGCAGAGAAGCAGGCAGGCAGGGAGCAAACTCTCTCCATCTCCAGGAAAAAGGCCTCTACACTACCCTTGCAAGGGCCTCTCTTAGCTCCAGAGCTACACGCTTCCTCTTCCCTCATCCATCCAGAGCCTCCCTAAACCTCACACAAGCTACTCTCAGCTGTACAGGACAGAGCAGAGGAGAGAACTTCTGGTAATACACACATCATATTCTAGCTATGAGCCTGGGCTACAGCAACACGAAGAGGGCAATGCTTCTGAATATAAGCAATCATCGGAAAAGTTCAATATAGTTGGGGGAAGAGTAAAATGCTGAATAACTGCCAACCCAGTCTTGCAACAATGTCCAAAATGAAGTTGTGAAACCTCAACCACTGTGAGACATAAAGTGAAATGTCTACCCTATTCTGATTCAAATAAATGCATGAGGAGTGAACAAGGTTCACAGTATTAAGGCAGTCATATAGCTCACCACTGCAGGTTTTGTTGTCGTTATTAAGCGAATAGTGGGCTGGACAGCCGCATACATAGCTGCTAACAGGCACAGCCAGGCAGAGGTGGGAGCAGTGGCCGTTGGTGGATGCGCAGGCATTCCAGCCGCCCTGCCGCGATGAGTGGAACACGAGGATGTCCATCACATAGTCCAGATGACCCTGGATGAGAGTACGATTCTGACCGCTGGTCTTGTTAGCCCGCTCGATGCTGCGCTGGCTCCAGTCGGTCCAGTAGATGTAGTCCTGGTATTGCGTGAGGCCAAATGGGTGAGGCAAGTCATCGGCAATCACTTCACGTTCGAGACCTTAAAAAGAAGGAGGGTGCGTTAGGATAGTTATCAAAAGTGTGTGTGGGGGGAGCCATTATCAAAGTTATTCAGCATCATTGATTGATTAGTGTACACACAGAGCCAAAGGGAGAATTCCAGGCCGAGACTCCTAGCATGTTAGTGCCAACAGCTTGAGTTTCCGGCCTTTTTAACTCCCTTTTGAAGTCCCCGGCTCCCCCATCCACTATTACCCAGCGGCATAGCAGACTCAACCGGCTAATTGAGAACATATCTGCTTTATGTAAGCTAATCACTAAATGAGGCTCATATGAACATCGGTGTGTTAAATGAAAATAAAAATAAGAAAGAAGAAAAGGGAAGACAAAAGCAGTGTGAACAGAAATGATTATACAATGAGATTATGGATATTTATAACTTGTAGAAAGGGCAAAAATCTACCACACAATGTCAGACTTTCTACAGCACGTACAAACTTCGATTTTAGCTAAACTAACCCAAATCAACATAATAGTGGATTGATGCAACACATTTAACAATGCTGGCAACATGGGATATTTCAAATCCATAAATCCAAGTAGAGCCCCATAAACTGTAAAAGTAAATGGTTTAACCAAAAGGAGACGGCAATCACCAAGCATGTTGGATGATTCGATGAGCGTCGTATCCAGGTCAGTCCAGTAGAGCCGTCTCTCGGCGTAATCGATGGTGAGACCGTTGGCCCTGCCCACGTTGGGCACCAGCGTTATGCGGCCTGTTCCATCCATGGCTGCTCGGTCAATCTTGGGCCTCCCACCCCACTCAGTCCAGTACATGAAACTGCGGGGGGGTGAAAAATATCATACTAAGAGATTGCAGTGGTTATGTCTGATTTCTGGTTTGTGATTAAAGCCCTCTGTCCAACTACCATGCCAAGAAATGGCACGCTGGCAATATATATACACACATACGCATGCACAGTTGCACTCAAAACTATTCAAACCCTTCTGACACTGTAAGGATTTCCAAAATCAAGCTTTTATGACGACCCAGACAATTTTTAAACCACCTGTGTAACAATAAGTGACCTATTCAAACTGATAGTAAAAATGTATGATGTCATATTTGAGTAAAATGATATTTTCTTAATAGAGCCATTTCAAAATTATGCAACCCCTATTTCATATCGGTGTTTTTTAAATTACTTCTGGTCTATGAGGCTACAAAATTGTGCTACAACACAATCAAAAGTAATTGCATATTGAAGCTTGGTGGTCCCAATAAGACAATGGCTATGTTTACACGCAAAGATTTTTGCCAATCCGATTGAATACAATCCGATTACAGATTCAGACTGAGGTGTTTATATGCACACTCTATTCAACGATTTGATGGAAAATCTTCGTTTACATGCTCACTACAAGTAATCCGATGCAAAATGACGCGCATGCGTGGAGTAGCGTTTAGAGTAAACGTTACCATGACAGCGAACATCACGTGAGGTCCAGTCCGCGTGATATGAGTTTCCAGTTGGCGCGCTTGTGTTTTAATTGCTTTAAAATTATGTCAGACTCAGGAAAACGTCCTTCACATGTCCTTATAAAGGAAGCGGCGAGAGGAAGACGGCGTGTTCTGAGACTCATAAGCTAGACGTCCGTCCCATCACCGTCTTTTAAAGCTCAGAGCATAAACTTCGTCTCCTCTGCAGACCCGTTTCTGCTCCGCCATGCTGAACGGTATAAACTTTCGCCATGATGCGACGCACATGCGCAGAACATACTTACACGTTCCGATTGGGAATCGGATTCAGGCGTTTACATGGTTATTATTCTTATATTTAACGGATTATTTAGAGGTTTACCCACCTCGTTCAATCGGATAGAAATTGTATTCCGAATGGCCTCAATTGGACTAGTCTATTCCGATTGAGGTGTTTACATGGACGTGTTCTATTCCGATTGAGCTATTAGTCGGATTATTAACGGATTATCAGGCTGCATGTAAACGTGGCTAATGATTCCAAGCATGTATCGGAATCATCCAAAGCTCGGTCGAGGGATCGCTCCTTGAATGGCCATTTCAGTCCCTGGATTTAAATCCCACTGAAAATCTTTAGTGGGATTAAAAGAAAGCCGTGATGGCACAAAAACCAAGGAACATTAATGAGCTAAAAGGTTTTGCACATGAAGAATGGGCAAAGATTCCAACAGAGAGCTGTCAAAAGCTTGTGAGCACCTACTGGAAGCATTTATTGGAATGCAAAGGATGCACCACAAAATACTGACTTGAGGTGCTAAATAAATTAACTTGAATTTATGTTCTCAAAATCACTTAAACATGTTGTAACCAACCTTCTTTAACTGTTTACTAAAGGCTTGGTTAAAAGATTTTCACCGCCCCCCCCCACACACACACCCCAACACACCCACACACACACACCTATACAGATGTTGAGAGATTTGTGCAATGATAAACAGAAACTAATACAGGCCAACACTGCTATTAAATTAACAGCTCAATCAGGAACTGAAGTAATGCTTTGCAGTTGGGAGGTATTTGGCCTTTAATCTTTGAAACTTCATTTTAGAGAATATTTTAAGAGGGCTTGAGTGCTATTTAATAACCTGCACAACAGTAAACCGATCATTACCTTTGTTATGGCTAATAGCCTTGCCAGCTAAAATGGAGCTCTGGTGCCAAAACATTTTGGTTAAGGGTCATTTAAATGGATATCATACCCGAGACTGCCATTACCAGAAAACAATCCTTTGGCCCTAAACAACAGCTTTTATCTGAGAGACAAGTAAAAAAATATAGAAAGGCTTTCAATTACTCATAGTGCCTAACGGTTAGTACTGATCAGTAGTATGCTATGGCTGTCACGATTGCTCAATTAAAAGCTATTACCCTGCTTAAAACAAACATACAAATAGAAAACAAAATATACATTAACATTCCTGACAAGATTATATATAGCCACACTCAGGTGAAGATTCTCTACAAACCAGAGACACTGGAAGTTGTTCTGTGCGTAACTGAAAGAAGAAACTCACACACTTAAAGTTACAAAGTGAGGGTATAAAAAGTAAATGTCTGCAACTGAACTATTTACTCAAGAAAATCACTGTAAAACTGCACCACACAAAGTAAAGAATATGCCACCACAAAATCTCTTAAGCTTTATGTATTCATGTTTAAATAGATTTGATGTATTTGAGCCAGTGTGTAAACTGAATGCACACCATCGCTAGCCTGGCACTAACATGACCCTGAAAATTCCATAGAAGGAGACAGCAGAGATTAGCATTATTGTGGCAGTGGTACTCATATTGGGCTCTGTATGTTGCTTTGACTGAACAGTTGACTGTAGCCCTCTTGTTCAAATAAACAATGACAATAACAATGACTAAAAACTTCTTATACATAGAGTCCAAGTATCATTTAGCCAAGCAACACTTATGTGGCAATATCAATGATTATGTACACACACATACAACCATACACACACCTCTACCTATCTACATATTAACATACACAAACAAAATTAAGTACATATATACACACACATGCGTGGATATATCAATCATCTCTTTTCTCTTACCCTTCAGCAGGGTCCAGTGCCAGCGCTCGCGGGCTGTCCAGGTCCTTCCACACCAAGACCTGCCTGTGTTGGCCGTCTAGTTTGGCCACCTCAATGCGGTTAGTGCCTGTGTCTGCCCAGTACAGGTTCTTGCCTAACCAGTCCACCGCCATGCCCTCAGGGTAGTCCAGGCCGAACTCCACCACATGCTCCAGAGCACTGCCGTTCATGAACGCTCGGCTGATGGTCTGTTGAAGGACAAGGCAAGAGAGAACACAAACCACATCTCATTAATAATCAACAAGACCTTAAGAAAACACTACCCTTCTCAGGTGTGACTGCTTTGATTTTAGTTCATGAAATAGATGCTTGCTGACTCATCACCACTGCCTTTCAATTCAGTTTACAAGCACCAGACACTCCCGTACAGGTGCACAATGACTAAGGTGAGATGGAAAGGAAAAGCATGAAGGGGGATGCTGCCTCTTTAACAACAAACCATTTCTCTCTCTCTTACAGAGAGAAAACTGACATTCAAGGTCTGGGTTAGTCTAGTACATAGGAGGGCCCCAGACGCCTCGTTAGAGAAATGAAAAACAAAACCTTTGACAAAAGAACTACGGTAACTCCAGCTGCTGGAAGACCCGAAGCAAGGTCACACACACAGACACACACCTACTGTATCTCCCAACCCCCATCACACTTGCAAACACATACATACACAAAACTTACAAAATTAACTGAACAAGTTTAAACACAAACACACAAATAACACCATCTGCCAGAGTACGCTCAACTAAAATGAAGCAATTTCTGCATCTCTCTAAAATTGCACTTATACTGCCCCCATTCTGTCTGTCTCTAATGAATACAATGTCCAAAAGACCAGTGTTTCTGTCTTTTTTCTTATTTTTTGTTTTGGGGGGAAAGAAACTGAACCAACAAATTAATCTAAAATAAGAACATAAAAGAACTCTAGCCATACTAATGCTGAAATCTTCAAGTTTTACTGAGCAGGTGTGGGAATATTCAGCTAGAGAGGGCTTAGTCAACTACAAGAGTTTTGCAGTTTTTATTTAATGGTCTACCTTACTTACCAAAACTACTTTGCAGAACTGCAGAGTGCAGTAATAAGACACTAGAAATACTGAATACACCATCCAAGGCTTACAGAAAAAAAACAAGTTCAGGAGATATGAGGGAGATTAGGGGAATATGTGCGAGGGAGAAGGGGAGAGAGAGAGGGAAAGGGGGGAGAGAGAGGGAAAGAGAGAGAGAAAAAGCCAAACAAGCAAGCGAGAGAGAAGTGGGGGGGGGCATCAATTATTTCCAAACTGGCATCTCCGGGGAGCCCATTATTGAACCATGCTTTGGGCAGAGAGCCAGCCAGTCAAAAAGAAGAACAGGCAGGCTCCTGTGTGTGTGTGTGTGTGTGTGGGTTTGTGTGTGTGTGTGTTTGTTCACACTCCATGCTCATTCTCATTCTCATTCTCACCTTCAGTGTGATGTCAGTCCAGTAGATACGGTTGTCTGTGACATCGAAATCCAGCGCGGACGCTTCCTTCACACCAGACAGCGGGATAGCCACGTTGTTATTGTTGGTTTCCAGGGAGATACGCCTGATGTCACTGTGGCGGGAAAAGAGCAGGAAGGCCTCAGGCACGATGCAAGTGCTCATGTCAGCAATGAGCTCAAGGCCGATGGGGCACGCGCATGCCACACCCTGCGGCTTGTACAGGCACAGGTGACTGCAACCGCCGTTATTTTCAGCACATGGGTTCGTACCTGAGAGAGAGAGAGAGAGAGAGAGAGAGAGAGAGAGAGAGAGAGAGAATAAGAATGAGGATGAGGATGAGTGTGGGGGGCAGGGGAATGTAGTACCTCAGTCTTGTAATCCTCTTGGAGGCAAAGGGAAAACAACAACAGTCTGGATGCAGGCTCCCACCATCAGCTGAGGTGAAGTGCTCAATTATTAATAGGCAGACAGCTCCCCATTTCCCCAAGCAGCCTCCAGCCTGCACTGCCCACAGATTCAGCTTTGTGATTACTGCAACACAGACTTTTCACTGCCTACTCTCACAGCTAGAATTATGCTGCCAGGAAATGTTGAGGAAAGATATTTTTAAAATGCCTCACATGTTCCACATTTTATTTAAAGGGTCTTTTTATTCACAGATTAACCTATTTTTTGCATCAAACAGGATGAACCAATATAGAATTCCTGGGCTGATATGACAACTAATAACACTTTGTTGTAATGGTACCAATAACTGGTCTTTTCAGACACAAAGCACCTTATCGACCTGGCCCGCAACTCACACACACTCACGTGTAGCAGGCTGAAGATTCTCCACAAGGGGGCACTATTAGCACTAAAATAGCTTCTGGTGCTTTGCTGCAGTGACAATATACCCTTGTTTTACTTTTTAGATATTTCTTTTTACACCGTTTTCAGGCTATAATGAATATATTAAGTGCCACAAGCATTACACTCTAAAAATCATAGCCACATCACAGCTAAATCAGACATGACAACTACTGTAAACATTCACATTATGTAAATATTTTATATTCTTTTGCAAACACTTTTTACAATGGGAGGTGAATGAAGGTAACTTCACAAATCTTGTCAAAACACTAGTTTAGTATAGTTGTGTGTATGTGTATACTCATACTGACCTAATTCCAATATGTGAACAATAATAACCTTTGCCCATTTACCAGTTTATACTAATCACAATAATATGTCACCATATATTATGCACCCCTACTTCAAAAAGCTACTGGTGCATTCATTTGTTTATGTTGTACAATGGCATTAACGGTAGTTTACTGAAATGCTAAAGCGGAAAACAAATGTAAGCAGGCATGCCACTTGCTAGGCTTCCAATATATGCCACCCAAGTAGGTATGTTATTCCTTTAAGCGGGTTATGTGAAATTTATAACAGGCTAACAGTTGGTTACCAACTGGATTAGCTATGGCTCCTTGCATTACTGTTCGACAATCTGTGGTCTACTTACCAAATACTTGGTGCACATACGTGGCCTTCAGGCCCATGAGGTCGGGCAGCTGGTCGACAATCACTTCCCTTTCGGCAGTGCGTTTGTGAACACGCTCAATGCTCCTGAGTTGCCAGTCGGTCCAGTAGATGTAATCACCAAGGAGTGTGAACCCAAATATGTGAGGGAGTTTGTCTTCAACCAGGATTTTCCGGCCTGTTCCATTCATATTCATCACCTGAAAGATGATAAATGGATTGAACGAGGGGAGGAGGAGGAAGATGAGAAAGAGCAGTGAGGACTGATATAATCACTGATATTTCCAAGATCCACTTAATGACATTTACATTTTATGTTTACAAGTGTTTAGACAACTGCTCATCAAAAGTTAATCCTGAAATCAAGGGTATTAATAAGGAGTTTTCTCTCCCCACCAGTCTCTACTTTTCTTGGAGGGCTTTACACTAGATGTTGGAATGTTGTTGTGAGGGGCTGACGGGCTTTTTACAAAGGCTTTTATATAAGAGGTTCTTCAGGTTGATGGAAAATTTGCATGACTGTGCTATACATGGTTCTATATAGAACCTTTTTGAAAAGTGTTCTATATAGCACCCAAAAGGGTTCTTTTATTGTTACATGATAGATTAACCTTTTTATGTGCTATACAGAACCATTTTCAAAAAGATTATATATAGAACCATCTACAGCACATTTTCCATCAGTCTGAAGAACACTGCCATGATGCAAAGAACCCTTTAATCGTGCAAAGGGTTCTTTAAATGTTCATGGTTCTATCTTTTTAAAGAGTGTAGCTGGGACTGACAGTAATGCGTGAGAGCTGAAGCTTAATTTTGTGAAATTAAAGAACATAATAAAAGGGCAGTTCAGTGAAAGTTGTGGTGGTGTATATTGTCACCTTTAATATGGTCATGAAACTTTAATGTAGAAATAAAGAACAGAACTGTGAATGTCACAAGAACTTGCGAGGCTGTTTAGCTTAGCCTATTGCCTTCTTTTCTGAAGCAATTTCCCTGAGGCTGTTTGCAATTGGCTGTTGTGCCTTATGTTGGACAGCACAGACAATTTTACTCATGTGTTACTCTTGATACCTGAAGCTGTTTTGTCAGATGCCTGAAACCTGATGCTGTTTTCTGAGGATGTCCACCGTTTCATACAGAGTGCTTTCTGCACAGACAAGATATCTGCCTGCAGCACCAAGCACATGCAACCAGCACAGCACAACAGCTGCGTTTACAGAACCTATGCTAGGTACAACAAATGTGGTATTAATGTAGGTCACATAACCCAACATGTGTAAAAGCTCAAATACGTTCAGGTATGGAAACAGTAAGTTTAACCTGGTGGTAAATGAGTTTTTACCAATCACTGGGTACTGATACTGCAGTAACTGTGTTAACCGCCACCTAACACAGGCCTAACTAAAAGTCTTACAATACTTCTCTCTTCTGTCTACACAGTATGCAGCCATGCATTAAACAGATATTAAAGTCTCATTAATGAAAAAAAAAACAGCCATGATCAGGTGAAAAGTCATGGATCATTGGGAGTCCTTGTGAATGTTAATCAATAATGCTCAGTAGGGTACAGATTTTCTCTGAGCCATACAGGTCTTATCAGCAAGTACAGTGCAGATTAAGTATGTGACTATGATTTTGCAGGGTGGGGGTATATTAGTGAGGAAATCTGACTTCAGAATTTTTTCGGTGTTTCTGTGGGGGGAAGTGAGAGAGCGCAATGAGAACTCGTTGCAAACTGGGCAAAACAACCAGCCTGTATTAATTGGCAGCAGCCGGACAAACAAACAGCAGCACACATGGCTGCCACATTGCCTCTCCTCTGAATTGCAGAAGTGCGTGAGAGAGAGTGAGGGTGAGAGAGCGAGCGTGTGAAAGAGCAAGTGTATGTATGTGTGACTGTCAAGGAACGTGCACAGAGGGAAGCTGTTTTTCGTCACTCTGAATACCACAAGTTTTTGTTTACCTTTGCTCAGCCAATCCAAACACACAACCATTCAACACTTTTTTTCTGAGTAAGAAAGTGAGCTTAAACAGGACTGCCCATTCCATTGCTTTGTTAAGCAGCTGACACATTGGTTTTCTATTTTCTTCTATGATTCAAACACAGCCAAAAGTATTCTTGGAATATATTTTAGTTAAGTAATCGCCTACCAGCTGTTTAATTCATCTAAGAAAACAAACTCCGGCTTATAAGACAGAAACTTCAACAGCCTGACACATAGCGACAGTGATAGGCCTTTGATTTCAATCTCTCTCACTTCAGTCATCCGTCCAGATCTTCAGGCTTCAGAAAAACTACTCGGGCTTCCTTTCAGTCCAAACTTCTTGCTCTTTGTTTCTCACTCACCGTCATTGTTCAGCTTATGAAATGAATGTATTCAAAGTCCTGGTTAACATACATTGATAGCACTGAAAGCTAAGAGCCAATCTAAATGGCAAAATGTAGCATCTGCCATTGTATGGATTTACACATATCACAAAACACAACAGCCTGAAACAAAAAACTAGAAACTAGAGAGTAGGCTCTCCTCATTTTCCCCCCATAAACACATATAGACACAGGCACAAGTGAGGACGCACAAGCACACAGAGCATATATAAAATGGAGTTTCCATCCTTAGTGTGATGGCCTCAGCCAAAAGGTCTCCACTGGTTTGGGAGTTGTGACCACACTGTGGTTTTGGTTTCAGATTCTGGGGCTATTCTAAACAGTGCCGACCGCAGCTGGAGTAGAGGCCGCAATCGGAACCAGATGTGGGCTGCAGCCGCAAAACACCGCCTTGCTGAGCGGACCCAGGATAGTCTGTGTGCCCCTCCCCCTCTCAAAACCCCCACGACACAAACACACACACAAACACACACAATCTCCTTCTCTTGGACGACAGACAGTAACCTCCAAGGGACTGGCCGGAAGCAGGTACCGTGAAGAGGAATGGCCCTCAATAAAAAAGGCAATCATTATCCATACAGTCCGTGCCTGTGTGTCACAGAGATGGTGCTTTAATGGAAGACTGAATCCATCTCTAACTGAATCAACTCCGTTACAGTTTACTCGTTTCAGAAAACTCTAGAATTGCAGAACTAGATGTGCCAAGGTTTGTTCACTCTGGCAGCGGAGCCGTAGAATTAGAATGAGTTGCAACTCCTACTCAGATCAGTGGTGCAGAGTGGGTCGGCTCTCAGCCATTTTTTAAAATACCATTTGGAACATCTGAGTTAGGCAAGAAACAAGTAAAAGCAGTGGTTCCAGCTGCTTTACTCGTCCTAAAGTACCTCCTTGTTTTTTTTTTACTAGGCTTGGGGTGATTTGAGAATACTAGTGTTGCAATATTTACAGCCCTGTCCAACAATATTTGTGTGTTGAGACGGCAACTGGCAACCTTACCGTGTCATTGTGTGCATGTTTAAATGGTTCCAAAGGACGCCTTCAATAAGCCAAGCCTGTTTTAGACCAGAAAGGGTTACCTGGTGCGTGGCTTATGATCTGGATGTACAGGGCAAGGAACATATCAGCAGTCACATGCGCAGGAAGTACAGATTTACACTTGGAGTCTATTTTTTGTCAACTGCTGTGAGTGGCCACTAGAGGTTTCTAGTTAAAAACACACTAAAACCCCATCCATACTACATATTTTAATGGTTTCTCTGCTTTAATGTGCTCACGTAACTCAGAAAAAGTTGGAATTTGCTCATTACTTAAAGCAGTCTTAGCAGAGCTATAATTGCACTCACCAGGTTATGAATCAATAATCTGTGATTACTTCAATAATACAAATGTGTTCTTGACAAAGTCAGAATGTTCTAGTTTAAAGTAAAATCCGATGCTCTTTGCAGACCAAAACAGAACAAAACAAAAACAGACCAACATGCTCTTCGTTGCTGTATGCAGAAACTACCTCAACCACCAAAAGAAGCTGGCCCAGTGGCAGTTAAATCACAAAACCTTTGATGTATTAGCTTGCACCAGCACAGAGCAATGGCCTGTGTCCATTCTCCTCAGTCTGAGTGGAATGCCTCCAGGTCTCTAAAAGCAAACCAAAAACTATTCACTCATAATTGAGCACTTAAATTTGGCCCATTCAAAAAGAAGACACAATTACCAGGGCCCGGTTCCATGAGTAACGGCAGCAGCTTTGAGACAAGATGCTGCAGCGGCCTGTGTGAAGTTTTACTGTGAAGACATAAACACCTTACACATGTGGGCACTACCTTAAACGGCCATGTAACCTTCCATTCTGTCTGCCGCCATCCTGTCGACACCTCGCAAAGCGCTAAACTTTAACTATCGGATTTCCAAGCAGCAGGAGAGCTGTGATGTGGGGATGGAGAAGGGTGGGGGCGAGCGTGAAGATGTTGAGGGGGCAGATGATGTAGGTTTTACCACTCGAGGCCAGGAAAATGAGGCCGTCCGAAGTGGAGGACGTGAACAGAAACTAATCACCGCCTTGTTTGGATTGGCACACGTCAGGAATACGCACTGGCCTTGTGCTCGGCTATGGCAAGCTCTCGCACTCCAAGCTGCATTTCATTATTACAGGCTCCAGGCGAAAGGCTCGGGTTTGAAATTCAAGGAGATGTGCCTGTTTTTCTGCCGGTGTACATTTACAGCCTTTCCCATTAACCATGAAAAATAACTCAACTGAAATTCATGTGGGCAGGGAGAGGGCTAAATTATGGACATGAGCAGAGCACTACAGCAAAACCTTGCCAGGCTTAAAATTGCCCTCAAAAACCCTACGGATAGAGGGAAACAGCTCACACCCCCTCTATAAGTTAAGAGAATCAATCAATCAAACTAATGTACTATTGTAACCCATTGGAGGTAGCAAAATGCACAGCCACACACACTTAATAAGGATAACAGGTTCCATTCACTTATTAAAATCAGATTAAACATTTGTACAATGCATGTCACACACAAACAGTATTCATGGTTTACTATGAATTGAAATGGGTGGGATTTGAAATGGATGGTTGTTAAGTTTTTCAAAATCCCAACTCCCATTCTCAGTGCTCACAAACCCACAGAGACTGCCAACATCCTTAAAGCTGATTGCTGGCAACCTTCATGGCGTGCGTGTGTGGGGTGGGAAAAAGGGGGGGATATAAATTCCTAAGAGCATGGTCTAGTGTAGCTGCCAGTCTCCTGGCGCTGGCGTGGTGTGCTGTTAGCATTGTGACAAAGCCAGCACCAGAGTTCACAGCATGGGGTAGGACTACTGCAGGCTGCCAGATAGTGCCAAGGACAAAAGGCCTCCTGCAGCATGCATGTGCGCGCGCGCACACACACACACACACACACACCACACACACACACACACACAATCTGTCTGGATTATTGGTGCTGTCCGACCCCCACCACTTAGCAAGACAAGCCAAAGCAGAGGAGACTAAACGGAAGAGGAGGAAGTGAAAGGAATGAAACAGTACATGGGTAAAAAATATTAAAAGCAGGGACACTATGATGTGTCACTTAACACAACATACAGTTTTGTTTCTCTTTTTTCAGACAGATAACTACTGTTGATGTATCCTACTTGAGGTACTGGGGAACGACATGGGACAACAAAGATTTATCACAGAGAATTCAAACAGCATATACTGCTGTATACATTATATTTAGATTCCAAACACAGCTCAAGCCTACCTCAATCTTGTCAGTCTTGGCATCCCCCCAATAGATCTTTCTCTCCACATAGTCGAGCGCTAGTCCATTGGGCCAACCAAGAGAGGTGTTCACCATCACTACCCGCTCTGTGCCATCAAGAGCAGCACGCTCAATCTTGGGAATCTCTCCCCAGTCGGTCCAGTACATGTACCTAGGAGAACAAAAGCCTTAGGGATCACAGAAATACTTTAGGTAAAGGTACTCCATCTTTAAAAAAAACAAACAAACAAAAAAACAAAAAAAAAAAACAAAAAAGGTCTACTCTATAATATATAAATACATGCAGTCTAGTCACTGCAGCACTGCAGAACAGGGGCCACAGTTCCTTGGAAGGTGGGGGGTAGGCAATATGAACTAAAGTTATAACGCAGTATTTCTACTATTCAGACGACAACAATGTCACATCACAATATCAAAAAAAGTGAAAAAAAAAAAATGTATAATACTAACAGTGATAATACCAATAACAAAACCTTGCAAATTATAATTGTTGTGACTACTACTGTTGCCATTATTATTGTAGCAGCAAAAGCAGCAACTAAATATTATTCTTCATTGCGTACCTCTTCACTCTTCCTCAATTCCATTTTGCATCTTGTATTTGGTGTCTAAGATAATATTTCATTGTTTGCCATATCTAACAACGATAGCTCACTATTCCAGGCTTGTTAAGTTTATCACATTAAGTTTACTCCATGCCAGCTGGATGGGTTTTACGAGCTAATTCATTCTTCTTCGTCGTGCTTAACAGTTTCCTGGTCCACCAGGCTTGAAACGATTGCCCAGTCACAAGTCAGAATGCTGTCCTGGATAAACAGATGTACAGTGCTCTTTTAAGAATTATATTTTTATTGAACGAAGTGACAGATTTGACTGTTTATTCATTTGGTAAAAGTATATCTTTCCTGCTGTTTCAGTCAGCAGCACAAAAACTGTGTGAATGACCAGTGCACACGAGCTGTAGCAGTCTGAAACTGACCCAAAATGTGTTCATGATGCTTCATACACAAGCATGTCCAACAGTTCACTCGTTTTGTGCGTGTGCCCGCGTGAACCTATACTGACTAATGTAGGAGCCACTGCAAATAGCACTCAGCGATGGAGTTTTGTCTAAAACACCATTTTGTTGAGTTTATGAGAGTTATTTAAGCTGTTCATATTCATGTTTAGTTTGTCTCGGGGAAAGATAGAGGAGGAAGGGAGAGAAAAAGATCTGCAGCTGAGTAATGCTGCCACCCTATAACCCCTTCCCTGCAGATGCTGCAGCAATGGCTAGACTACGGAGAGAAAATGATGTAATCGGCTGCCAACTCTCTCTACCACTGTACAATGACCTGCAACAAGGGAGACCAAGCAGGAATCCCACCTGAGCTGGAGTTTATGCCACAGACATACAAATACACTGCGCTCTGTCCACTATAGCTAGCCATCACAATCTGAGGCATTCTGCAGCTGTTGCTATGGAGACTGTTGCTCAGCAACAGGAGGCTGAGAGAGAGGCCAGCAGTTCATATTGATGACCTCACTTCCTTGAAAACATTTGGTTTACCTCAGGCTTGTGGCTAATCTTGCACCCAAACAAAACTCTTGCAGCTGGCAGTAAATAAATTCAGATATAATCTTAACCACTGACTTTAGTACAACACAAGAACGAGATGTTGTGCTGCTTTTAGGATAACTAGAGTTTATACCGTGGACATTTACACATCTGTGACCCTCTATTATAGTATATCAGGGGAAAAAAAAGGGACCCACCCTGAAACAGGATCCAGAACAATGGCTCTTGGCTCATCTAGGTCTTCCGAGATCAAAATCTTCCTCATTGTTCCATTTAGCCGTGTCACCTCAATTCGATCCGTGCCAGTGTCCGTCCAGTAGAGGTTCCTTGCGATCCAGTCCACGGCAATCCCATCTGGGTGGTTCACCTGGGAGGTGACAATGAACTGGGCTTCGCTGCCATCTAGACGAGACCTGCGGATGGCCTGCACCTCATCGTCTGTCCAGTAGATGTGGCCGTCTACAGGATCGTAGTCGATGGCGATAGCATGTCGGATGTCCTCGGCGTGCAGCACAACGTCTGTAAAGTCTGGAGTGTCCAAGGAGATTCGTCGCAGGTCTGTTCGACGGGCCAGAAGGAGGAGCTGTGTGGCACCTGCAAGAAGAAATGTCATACATGTTACTGAGAACGCTAATACAACACTTCTCCTACTCTGAGACCCAAGGAAGTGCCTTTAAGCATCTGGGTTTCTTTACCTACCAGCTGTGAGCTCTACTTTATAAATCACATAGCTATAGGCAAATGTACTAGGTAAATGCAAAACCTTGGCAGGTGAAGCCTATTCCCATCAAAACAATTTTCTCAGCAAAAACAGAGGACGCAAAGGACCTTGTTTCTATCAAACAGTGTCTTGTTGATCTGCAATAATAAAGCCTTTATGATCGTAATTAGTAAAATCCTATCAGTTTGTGTGTAGTGAAGGTGGGCATGGGCAAAATCTTCTCTTTCCTAATAACACCCCAGAACTCTGGGTTTCCACAAATCATTAAATTTAATGAAGTCATCCTTCAACCTATAGTCTTGCTGTCACCCCTCAGGAGACACCTTGGAACTGCAAATTTGCTTAAAAAAAACCTGCTGTTCACAAGAAACTTCCAAGCCTACATAATCCTAGAAATTCATTCAAGCACAGGGCCTTTATCTTTGATCTCAGTGCCCCATGTGGAAGACTGGGCGTAGTCCAAAAAAGGGCACTGGACATCCTTCATTCATAGGAAGGCAAGGCTGCTTTATTTAGCCATCAGACTCAAAAGGTTTCCAAGCTAGAAATGCCTGGCTTTTGCATTTTCTACTAGAACTTCACTCTTGCTTTGCATGTATTTCACTACAAAAGCTTTAAACTTTTCAAAACAAAGGCAAGAAACTGAACCAGTATAAGAAGGCATGAGTATTGGCCAATAACAACACACTATCTAGTTCCTGTCAGAACTGATGTATCACTGCTCTACTGTTACTTAGAGTCCTGAACAGAAATAGACAAAACAGAGCTGCTCATGGGGTGCCTGTGTTATTGAGTGTACTGGGAGCATGGCAAGTGTACTTCACGTTTTAGTGCAATTATTGAAAAGCTCACATCTGTTGCAAAACTTAAAAGTAGACTTCAGGTTGCAGTGATTTCTAGAAACTGAAGACATCCTAGTAAGATCATGCCCAATTAGAACATCGCTACAGCAGTGTCATGTACTGAATGACTAATACTTTCACTGTTGCTATGCACGTTTCAGAACAATCTGAATCAGCCGCTTGGGAGGCCCCTGGACGCATGTGACCAGCAGCTTGGGTTGCAGAGAGTGCCCGCATATGAGAGAGAGACAGAGGGAGAGAATAATAGAGGGAGGGAAGGGGAGACAGGGAGAGAATAATAGAGGCAGGGAGGGGTGGAGAGACAGAGAGAGAAAGAGAGATAGAGAAGGAAGAGAAGGAAGAGAGAGAGAGAAAGAGAGAGAGAGAGAGAAAGAGAGAAAGAGAGAGAAAGAGAGAGAGAGAGAGAGAGAGAGAGAGATAGAGAGAGAGAGAAGAGGAGTGTTTTTTTCCCCCAGTAACAGAAAAAGATGAGAGGTTCTTGGGGGGAAGGACAATACAGAGATGTCACTTTGTCAAGGGGCTGGTGGGTTGCCCGGTGAGTGAAACTCAGGTCTGTTAAATGCTTAAGGGAGAGTGATGGAGGCCCCCAGCGGGACAGACACACAGTGCTCTTGAGCTGTTAAAGGCTGACCAGTGAAAGGCCGTATTGTGAGCATGTGATCCGCTGCTCAACAAAAGCCTGCTCGTCACTCTTTCTGCTGACTGGGGGAAATGAAGCAGAAAAATACAGAGAGAGAGAGAGAGAGAGAGAGAGAGAGAGAGAGAGAGAGAGAGAGAGAGAGAGGAGACAGAGAGAGAGAGAGAGAGAGAGAGAGAGAGAGAGAGAGAGAGAGAGAGAGAGAGAGAGAGAGAGAGAATATGAATAAAGAAGGAGAATGGCCACAATTGTGAGATCTACAAGCTCCCTCAATGAAGCCATGTTGCTATAGCGACCACAGGTCAGCTCCCCCTGCACCTTCAGCTGCACACATCAACCAAGCAAAAGTGAGAGAGAGAGAAAGTCAGTGAAAGCTAGAGAGAGTGCAATAAAGGAGTAGAGATGGTAAACGAGCAAAAGAGAAAGGCAGAGACCGCTTGAGAGAGAGCAACAGAGAGAGAGAATGAATATTTGGGGAGAAAGTCTCAATTGCACTAGCAGCCTCAGCGCAAAGAATTCTATTACTCTGAGCTTCAATATCACATAGGCAACAGAAGACACACAGACAGACTGTGGTTGTGTAAAATTTAGAAAAAGTGCAGTTTTCTGGCAATTGATTCACTGAGGAAAGAAAAGGGGGGAACAGCAATATAATCTCAGCCTCTGCCCTACTAACAAACGTCTGCATATCAGCTCAGCAGTCTTTGTGCTACTTGAGTTCAGATTTCTTATGAAGTGCAATACCCTCCATTAACAATCTCCTACAACAAATATGCTTCAGCTGAAGCCTAAAATGCACAAGCTTAAAACTCAAAGAGGTTTCCTTTTGGCCACTTCAAAAGACAGAACAAGAATTTCACTCACATATGTAGCAAACAATGTGAGGCTGTGTACATATATTTATGTACAGGTCTGGGAATCTCATCTCCCTGGGAAATTATCTTCCTTACACAGTTCAACAACAACTGATGAGAAGTGCACTACTCTAGTTTACAACAGCTTATCTGATCTGACTGTGATGATATAAGCTTATTAATTGGGCACAATACTCATGCCAGTTTGCTGAAGAGTGTATATGGGTGAGAAAGAGAAGGTATCTCACCATCTCGGCAGGTCTTGTTGTCCTCCAGCAGTTGCACACCGGTGGGACAGGCACACTGGTAGTAGGGCTTCATTGGAGACAGCAGGCACAGGTGCGAACAGCCACCATTCATCAGAGAGCAGGGAGTACTCACATCTGTAAAAGACCAAAAGATACAAACTTTAAGACCAGGCAAAAATCTTATCACAATATATTTTTTCTCGCATTTGATATTAATAGTTATAAATAATGCTATATGCATTTTATAACACTTTCTATTAAGTCTGAGTAGCATTTAGTACCCTGTAGAAAATAAATGGCTTATTCTGGAAGAACATACAAAATTATTCACTAAGATAGCATATAAAAGGAAGTACAAATAAAAGAAACCTCAACAATTAACATCCAGTACCTTTAAAATACTCACATGATTTCAGCAGTTAAAGTAGTTTGCTAGCTAACTCTGCTAACTGCCCCACTGGTGTGTGCTGCTGTGAGTGAACAGCTAGACTTCTCCCTCCTTGTCTTGCAAGTAAAAAGCACACTTCATGACCTAGAGTACTGAAGTAATATCTGCTCATAGCTCAAGCCTCTGCTGCTAATGAACAAAATGGCATAATCATGATCAAAAGCAGTCTACCTCAAAGACACACTGTCAATATTATAGATGTTTGATTTTTATAACTTTTACTTTTACTGCATTACACCCTTAAACACACCAGGTTCATTTTCTGATATCACTGTGCTGGTGTGTTTCAGGTCAAATAAAGCAGAAGAACCTACTAGGAATGTGAATATTTAAAAATGTTTAGGTTTTTTTTGGGAAGTGTCACTCACTATTGCATTCATAGCTCTGTCTAGGGTTTTTAGATGAAGACGCCCACAGCTCCACTCTGTTTTTGTTTCAACAAATTCAGTGCCGGATCTGCTCTTTTGTTCTGAAAACGACTGTTATGGCTTTAAAAAGACTTTTGAAGGGGAGAAACCTTCAACTACCTTTTGTAGCACATTCAGCTACAATCATAGATAGGGCTAAAAATGATTTACAAAGGTCTTTGCATAAAAATGGCATGCAATGAGCATTCACTTGTCTGAATTAAATGGAAGACAAAGTGGAAACAAGCTGAACTGCTCTAGCCTGGAACACCCTTTATGAAGTCAGACCCTCAGTGAAGCCAGAGTACAGTTTTCCAGGAATTTAAGTCAACGTGTTTACATAAAGCCATGTAATGGAGACATTCAGCACTGGATTTCTCAAGAGAGAGTGCAAGCGAGAGAAAAGCAGTATGGCAGCGTAGCTCGGATTGGTACTATGACCGAATCCCAGGCTTTTCTCTCAGCCATGAGAAATTCTCTGCATTCAATCAGAACAGGGGCTCCATTGTATGTCCTCAGCACAGAGAAGCAGAAAGGTGACTGTGCCATAATCATTTCTGCAGAGTAGTATTACCAAACAAGCCAATAGAGCTTTGTGCATTGTTTCAGGAAAAGACTCTAAAAGGCACCAGTGGGAGGGAAAATAAAGGCTAGACGAAGCTCTAGCTCTTGAGTCTGGTTTGTGGTACATTACGCTTCAAAGCAAACCTGGCACAGGTAATGGAAAGCGTACGCGCTTGGTGGGACGTAAGCCTGAAATAAAGGGATGCACGTTTTAATGCCTAACAGTAAGAGAAGAGTGTATTTAAATCCCAGTGAATAGTTCAGCTGGCTTGTAACGACTGAGGGGCCTTAAACATGCTGTTCAATGTGTTAAATAAATAAAGAACACCACTACGCAATTAGCCTCAAAGGATTCTTAAACTGGCTGTGTTGCAATTAGTGTTGCTTGCTGATGGTTTACCAGTGGGCTGTCTCTTCTGGCTGAAGACGTGGATGTCCATGGGAGAAAAGATGTTGGTGTGGATCTCACGACGTTCCTGTCCCGTCTGCTTCTGGCAGGAGTGTATAGAGTGTGTGTTCCAGTCTGTCCAGAACAGCGTGTCTTCGTACAGCGTCAGAGCAAATGGGTGTGGGAGTGAGCCCTTCAGCACAACCTCTCTGAGAGTAAAGAAACATCATAGCAGTAAATAAACAAGTGAGTAAACAAACATAAGAAACTGCAGTAGAACTTGCCACCACCTGGGGTGGAATTTGATATGAGGCAAGCTGGGAAAAGTCAGCGGCTTTGATTAAAGCCCCAGCCATGTAAATTGAATGTCATCGACTTTCTCGGTTTACATAGACTACATCAAGAAAACATGCCAACTTAAGGAAAAAACCTCAACAACTCCAAAAAGAATGTTTGTGCAGCTTGACTGGAATTTTAAAAAGAGACTACACCTCAGTGAAAACAAGGTATGACAACATAAGTCACAGATTTGACTACTTTGGTTACAATTGGACTAATTGCAGTGACTTTGGTTTACATCATGCAATTCTTTTAGTGAACTGATCAGAAAGTAAAATGAAGACTGGACAAGGCTTACCTTCCCATGCCATCCAGGTTGGAACGGTGAATAAAGTTAAACTTAGCATCGGCCCAGTACAGTTTCTGCTGGCTGTAGTCTAAAGTAAGCCCGTTGGGCCAGTAGATTTCAGTGTCAACGATAACAGCTCGATTTGTGCCATCCATACCCGCCCTCTCAATCTTCGGAATCTCACCCCAGTCTGTCCAGTACATGTACCTATGGCAAAAAACATTAGAACTTAATTAAAAAAGAAAACAAGTTACCATTCCTTTTGTTCTTTGGTGCACCTGGCACCCTTTAGCACATCCTGTCAGCAATAACTTTGTTATCTTCACCTCTGTGAATCCCTGGGACCCCTATCTGGGCCACTCACCTTCTGTGTCTTTGGCCAACATAATTAGTAAAGTTCAAAAAGGATCTTTCAATAACTCTCTTAGTAAAGAATACTATTTATTTATTTACCTGTATGCACATCAATTATTCTCATTAATATCTGCTTCTGGCTCACTAACCTACACAATTTAAAAAGATGTTTTTTTCTGTAGTAAAAAAAAAAAATAATAAAAAGTTCTATATAGAACCATGAACAGTCAAAAACCCTTTAAAGGGTTCTTTGCGTAATAAAAGGTTTCTTTAGACTGATACAAAATGTACTGTAAACAGAACCTTTTTGAAAAGAGTTCTATAGAGCACAAACCTATTGTTACAAGCTTGATGTAATAATTATAGAAGAACCCTTTTTGGTGCTATATAGAACCTTTCAAAATGTTTCTATATAGAGGCATCTGCAGCACATTCTCCATCAATCTGAAGAACCCTTTCACCATGCAAACTGTTCTTAGAGTCTTCACACTTTTATGTTTAACCACTGTATTGGCTAAAGGAACGCTTGAATAACCATCTTTTTTTTTTTTAATAGTGTACATAACCCAACTTGCCTGTAATTCCAGACAATGGTGTATTGCCCTGATTCTTAACTGCTCTTTATTTTGTCATCTAAGGGAGTAACAAATGCTTCATGACATTGTCCATCTGCTCAATTCTGGACAAATAAAAATGAATCAAATTAAAATGGATGTACTCTGGACATCAGCATGAAAAAAACCATGATCAGAGGCAGGGGAGGGAGTCTTGCTAAACAAATAGAAATAGTAACAACAATCTGCAACTGACCAAATCAATTTAATAAATAAATAAATAAATAAATAAATAAATAAATAAAACAACAGGAGTAAACCATCAGACTTAAATAAAGTTTAAAATATCACAGGACCTCAAGGTGCCAAACAAGCACATTTACAACAACAGAATGCACCTTCTTAACAACCATATTAAATCCTGTATACATTCAAATGTACAGTTAAAAAAGATTACTACAGCACATAAATAGCTAGTAACAAATCCCAAACACTGCTAAAAACTACAGCATAATCTACATCAACACAGTATGTTGCACAGTGCAAAACATCCGGCTGGCTTTGTGTGCATGCGTGTGTGTGTAGGGCAAAGGTTGTGCCTGTGACAGCGGAAGGGTCACTAATTGTAAATCAACACTGTGGCTGCAGGGAGCGCTGACCTTTAATCTTTACCAATGCAGGGCCAATACTATGGGGTAAGTGGCGGTCACATGGCTGTCGGAGGCCAGCATTTCCGACAAGGAAAAGGGTAAGGTTGTTGAGGAACAAGAACAGTCAAGGTTTTAAGTGGGCATCTGGACACTGGCCAAAGAGGGGCCCAGCAGCAGAAGGAGCAGGTTTACCTTTCAGCTGTAAAGGCAAGCTCACATTGACCCAGCCGAGGGTCCTGGAACAGGGGGGGTAGACCAACAAGCATGTCAGTTAGTGTACAGTGGTCATGGGGTCCACGTCCCAAAATGAATATGTAGGCTAGGAGAACTGTTGCTGAGCAACATGGAAATACATAAAACCAAAGCAACTCAGTGCATACAAGGAAAGAATGATGTTAGAGTCTGTCTTTCAGGGCAGAAGAGTTAACTGAGCCTTTTTCTCCATCAGCTGAACGGATGGCAGGAATTCTGAATCTTTGAGACCAGCACCAATAAAACAAGAATATTACAACAGTAATAGGATCAGATCCTTTGTGGGTACTTGGTACTCTTTCCATTCAGCTGCTACTCAAACCATTGACCCCCACATTACCTTGTGGGGGTGGGGAAGTGCAACAGCTGGGTGGAGAGTGCTGATGGCTCATGGGAAGTGGAAGATCAGGTAACCATTTAAGCATTTAACATAAAGCACTACAAATGTTTAGCACAAATGAAAGGACAGTTATAAAAAGGTGCACAACACAGCAGGGGCATCACTACTACACCAGTTCAGCCCCGATTCTCATGTCAGACACATTTTTGGGATCTGCAATTAACCCCTTAGCTCAAACTACTGCATGTGACTTTCATGACCGCTCATTTGCGTCACACGATTCCCAGTCTGGGAGCTGTTGCAGATGGCCTGATATTTTTAAGCATGTTTGAAATGTTCTAGGGTGATAACCTGTATGGCAAGTAGTAAGAACAGTGCTGAGCAAAAACCAATAAGAGCCCAAGGGGGGAAAAGAAGGGTGGGGGAAAAAAAAACAATTATTGGAGAAAGGTGCCATGAAAATTGAGTGACAGGCTCTGCCTCTGAGGATTTGCAGGACATTTCTCCTTTGTGCTGCTGATGGTCGCTCATGGTCTGCATAAACATTGAAAACGAAGGAGCAGCTAGCACAGCTCTGGAAACAATACTGATTCACAAGAAGTGTGAAACTACAGAACACTGTTGTTTTTGTAGTTGTCTCATTTTTGTAATTCCTATTTCTGCAAAAGTTGGCTAGGGTCCAGTTGTTTTTTTTTTAACTGTAATTTTTCCAAGACACCGGTATTTTGCTTTCAGACTCGCTTTGTCACAGGAAGTCTCAGCATGAAAAACTGAACAGTATTTATAGTGTAAAGTGCATACCTCTATATAGGGCTAAAGGATTAAGCATTTTTATATCAAAGAGTGCAATTTTTAAAGACCTACAACTGTTATTAGAGCCTACATAATCATCAAGCTTTAACTGAGTAAATTAACCCTAAAAACAACAGAGCTTGTAAACTACTTGTAGATGCAAAATCAGAAACGTCAGCATGGCAGCATTCAAGCCTCAAGCCAGAAAAAGTGGATACGCTGGTCCTCTTGGCCAAAAAACAGGCCTTCAAAAGTCCTAACTCACAATATTAGCCAGAAAAAAAAGCAAAGCAATAAAGTACCAAGATGCATGAACAGCGCAGTGATTCTTAGATTTTGGAAGCTGTGTAGTGTCTACAAGAAACAAGACCAAAAATAGCTTTGACCAAGAAAGTAACTGATTTTCCTTCTGCTATCATTTTCTCATGAAGGCATAAACATCTAAGCAGAGCTCACCTACTAAGCAGGGAAGAGTGTGTGTCTTACAGCAGTGAAACAGAGACAGCAACTTCCTGACAGGCCACTAAAGAGAACTTGTCCGTTGAGTGTTTTAGTGCTTTGTCACAAATCTGGGGAGTTCATTCTGCACCACAAAGGGCAACTTGTTTGTGGAGGTGTTTGACAGAGGGGAAAAGGGAAAGGTGTGAGAATGGTGAGATCCAGAGCTTTTGCCCAGGTCTCCTTCCATGAAAATCTGAAGACAAAGAGCGAGTGGAGAGACAGGAAGTTGTGTTTGTTTGTATAAGTGTACTGAGCTAACGGGTGCCTATGTTTTCTTAAACTGCCCTCTGACCATCCTCACAGCTAGAACGTGCTCCTACATTAACCTGTGGAATATTTCTATCCCCCTCTCACTGTCATTCTTTCAACGTCTCTCTCTCTTTTCCTCTCCCAGTCTCAATCTTCTTAGCATTCTTCCTCCTTCCATAATTTCCATAAATCTCTTTAGCCCCACCACCCTCTTTTTCCTCTCCAAGGACTCTTCACACATTCTTTACTTAGGGTGACTTTTCTCTGCAGTTTAAACTGGCCTGCTGTCTCCTTTGCTCTCTTAGCCTGATGCATTCCATTACTAACAAAGTACACACACACACACACACACACACACACACACACGCACACACACACACATCCCTATGTGTACTACAGAGTAGAGATTAGTCAAATTAAGAAACAACAGTTCAACTGAAAAAAGACCCTTTCAAATGCCAAACTGAACAGACTGGGGAGGGGAAAAGGGACAAAGGAATATTCTACACCAAACCAGCTATAATTTATTTGTAGCATTTTCCTTATATTAACAATAACTAATGTACTTAGGCCTTTGCTTATTAATCATATAAATGAGGCAAAAAATTTAATGACTTGGATTCAGATGTAGCTTTTGAATTCTAGAAAGAAATAAAAACACCACCGTAATTAACGAATACTTGAGTATTTAAATTATTTAGACCAGCCATAACTTACGCATAATCGTTTCTAGAATTGAGTCGGGGACACATGTACCAGGATTAGCATTACAAAAAATACAGCATTCACTTATATAGCATTACAATGCAGAAAAATTTATGAAATGCAGATACTGCAGCATATTAGTCCAACACTAAATATTATCATTCACAGATCAGTCACATTTGACCAAGAGCTGATCTGTTCCACAAAAATTAGCATTACGTTTGGATGCTAATGTAACTTTAGACAAACAATTATCATCTGCAGAATTACCACGATAAACAATATCACTGATCCAAATACCACGTGAGCGTTACAGTGCCTTAGTTTAGCTTGCATTTTTCATTGACTAATATAATTACCATATAATTACCATCTGGGATAGCTTCTTATACTACTTATTTACGAATAATGTGCCTGTTTGGTAATATTTTGGTTTCCATCCAAGCAAATGCAGAGAACCATTGCATGTTAACAATATTACATGCAGTCTGTCCAGAAAACAGATTATAGGTGAGGGTGGAAATACTCCCAATTTGCAATTACATCTCAGGACACATCATCCAACTCAGTATGCTGAAGTGGGACTGGTTGGTAGCAGAGAAGACAGTCAATCAAGTCATTTAATAGTCAAAATCAACAAAGTGGCCCCTTTTACCCAGACAAACTCGCCCATTCCTTCGACAGGGAGTAGGTCTCATGCACTGGAGTCTTTGTTTCATTTGTATGTATCCCAGCATTCTTTGCAAGGGTAGTCCATGTTATAATGTACCTACGTTGCACGAACTCTAGCATTCTTTGGCTTAAAGTCTA